AGCAGGAACCAAACCTAGGTCTCTCCAGGCCGCAGGCCAACGCTCTAACCGCTGAGCCAAATCGGCTAGGGCTTTTTTTTAAAAAAAAAGGAAAACAACATAAATGGCTCCTGTAATAATCAAAACTACAGACGATGGTGGTTTGAACAAGGGTGGAAGCAGGATTTGCTAACAGATTGGATGTGGGGTGAAAACAGAGGAATCACGGATAACTCTAACTAAGGTTTCTAGCCTGAGTAAATGGAAGGAGGGAGTTACCATGCTCTGACATGGGAGGACTTCCAAAAAGGGAAGTTTGAGGATGGGAATGATGATCAGGAGCTCAGTTTTAGGCTATGAAACTTGAGATGCCTATTAGACATCTGGATATTGGATATGGAGTTCAAATGAGAGATCTGAGAATCAACTCATTATACTGATGCCTTTTAAAAAACATTTCTTTTTTTTTTTTACCCTCACCTGAGGATATTTTTACATTTACCTTCAGATAGAGTGGGAGGAAGAGAGGGAGGAAGAGAGAGAGAGAGAGAAACATCGATGTGAGAGAGACACATCGATTGGTTGCCTCCCACACAACCCCAACTGGGGCCGGGGATGAACCGCAAACAAGGTACATGCCCTTGGCTGAAATTGAACCCAGGAGTCTTTGGTCTGCGGGTCAACACTCAAACCACGGAGCCAAACCGGCCAGGACTAAAAATGTGTCTTTTTAATAGAAAATTTCAAACACATACAAAAATAAAATTGTACAACAATTCCCCAAGTATCCATTACTTAGCTTCAACAACCATTGCTTCTTGCTGTTTCTAGAGAGTAGTTAAAGCCTTGAGACTGGGTAATATCCCCAAGGGATTGAGGTGGTAAGGGAAGAGGGTGACCAAGTCCTGGTCTACCCCAGCATTGAAAGGTTGAGCAGATGAGGAGGAACCAGCAAAGGAGACTGAAGATAAGCAGTTGGTGAAGTAGGAGGAAAATCAGATTACAGTATCCTGGAAGCCAAGTTAAGAAACAATTCCCAAATCACAATTTAATTACGGTATAAGTACTAAGGAAGAACACGTGCTCAATCAGAATATAACATTGGGGGTCAAGAAAGGCCTCCCTGAGGAGGTGACATTTATTAATTTATTTATATGTCAGACAGGTAATGTGCCAAAGTCATAACAAGGTTTGTGGGAGGCACATCTCACACAAGAGTGTGAACACCCAATCATCATACTTAAGAACTACAAAAGGCTCAGAGGAGGTAACTTTTAAGCTGCAGCTGTCCCTCATCCTATCTCCAACTAAAATCCTGCTTCCCCTGGCCGGTGTGGCTCGGTGGTTGAGCATTTGACCCATGCACCAAGACATCTCCAGTTCCATTCCTGGTCAGGGCACATGACCAGGTTGTGGGCCTGATCCCCAGTGGGGGGCACGCAGGAGGCAGCCAACTGATGTTCTCTCTCATCAATATTTCTATCTCTCTCTCTCCCTCTCCCTTCCTCTCTCTCTCTAAAATCAATAAAGAAAAAAAAAATAACATAAAATCCTGCTTCCTTTATCCTACTTTTACTCTGACATGGGGCTCCTCCTTTCTGGGATGGCTTTTCGGAGGACAAGGTGTCAGCCAGTAGGGGTGCTGGGAACACAGTGATGAGAGACAATTCTTGCCTTCAGTGGGCTTGTACTCTAGTGAGGAGATAGAGCAACTGATTTCCTTAAATGTGGTGGTGAGTGCTACCACCACGTAAGCACAGTGAGTTTTGAGAACACCAGGTAAGAGCACATAACCCTGCTGGGGTGAGTCAGGAAAGGCTTCCTGGAAGTAACACCTGAGCAGAGAATGGAGCACAGGGTTGCCTCTGTGTATACCCTTAAACCTGGCTTAGAGCTTTCAAGTGTTAACCCTTGCCCATATGCTTAGATTCAAAATCTTTCGTGAGGTATCTAGCCAGCCTAAATCCTGACCTCACCGCAGGGCTTTACCCTTCTTCTCTGCGAATATGAACTGGTCAAGCCTGGGTCTCCCTCCCAACCCCCAAAGTCCCCTTCTGACCTGCTCTGCTACCCTCTGATCTGGAAACAGCCATTGACCTGTTTTCCTGGAAGCATCCAGGGCTTGTTGTCTCCATCATGCCTTTTGGACAACGAGTGGCCTAAGGACTCACTTTAGGGAAGATCAATATCTGAGGCAGAACAGGACAGGCAGTAAGAGAATGTGGGCATATCAGTAACAAAACGCTGCAAAAGTCAGAATCTTCTGCAATCAAGTTAAAGCCAGGAGGGGAGGGAACACATTTGTCTTGTTCACCAGGAATCCCCAGCTATGGTATAACAAGGTGCATGGCAAGAAATTTGTTCAGTAAATGTTAAATGAATAGTTCTTTCAAGACTACAGTTTCATACAGAGCACGATCCCTAAACTGTGCTTCTAACTGCTGCGTAATTGTCTCAGCTCTTCATCAGGTGCAGAATGCCTTCCTGGGGCTAGGCATTCAGGGGGCCGCTTTGTAAAGATTTTCATACAGCCACTTGATGGGGCTTTGAGAAACAGGTGCAAGCAGTCTGTTTCGCTGCCAGGCTTTTCTTGCATAAATTTCCAAGCAAAAACAACTGTTGGTATTCTCACGCTGTTGTCCCGGTTTCCAGAGGCAGCACGTTCCAAGGGCCGACACCGACACCAAGGGAGCCACAGCGGTAGCCCTGTCATCCGTCTGCTCCAACGCCCCTTTCCCGTCCCCGCCTGCTCCATACTCGTCCCAGCAGCAGGGCGGGCACGTGCCAGCGTCTGCGCAATCTCCCCTCACCCCACCCCCAGTACCCCGGGCTGCGGTCCTGGCGCCCGGGGCTGCCCAAGAAGGGAAATCCCGGAGGAAGCCATAGTTGTTACTATCAAGTCCTCTGTTGTCGTCATCAGCTGAGGCGTGCCCAAGAAGCCCCTTCTCCTGCATAGGGCCCAGCGGTTTCTTCCTGTTCTCGAGCTCACCCGCCCCAGCCACTTCGGGCGGAGCTATCGCATCCGAGCCCTGTAGTGTTCCGTGGCCCCTCTGCGCCCCAGCTCCAAGGCTCTCAGAATCTGGGAAGCCTCAGGCCCGGTGCGGAGCTTAGAAAACCGACGGCGTCAGGCAGGACGTGCCTGGGGCCCTGGCAAAGGCGGGCGGGGACATGAGTTCCACGCTGGCTCTGACACGGACCAACAAGGTGACCTTAGCTGATGACTCTCCCTCCCGCCGCCTCAGTTTGTCCGCTCCCCCCTACAACCCAAGGAAGGAGCTGAGGTCCCACGCCTCGCGGAGGTTGGAAGGAGAACGCCAGCCCCTCGCTTGCCCCCTAACCGCGCGTCGGCTTGGGGCTGGGCCTTGAGCAGGGAGTAGGGTGAAGGCACCGGGGAGAGGCTGGCGCCCGCCCCGGCGCAGCGTGGGTGGAGGCGGAGCGCAGAGGGCTAGCGAAGACCCTCTCATTCTTCGGTTTTGCAAGGCTCCTGGGTGCAGTACTATACCTACGCACACGCCGCCCGCAAACCTTGGCAGTAGCTGCACTCTTCCTCGCCAGAACAGCCAGCCCGCTGCCCGACTTGCTTGTCTAATCCGTTCAAGCCTCACCTCCTCCGCGAAGCTCTCCCGGGTTAACCCCATCACTTCCAACCACTCTATCTGGCCCGTGCTCCAGTTTTTATTTTTTGTTTGTTTGTTTTCGGAAGTGTACACGCGGTGTCATTGTTTGGAATAATAATGTCCCTAAGTTCAGGACGCCCAATGTGTTCTGAAGGACGTGATTGATGGGTTTATTGCCTAGGCTTAATAACCACTTCCACCCTCCATGTTTCTCCATCCATGCTTCACTCTTTCTCCTCCTCTTACGGACCCTCCGCTCTACTGAGAGTCACTTCTTGATGTGCACAATCCAGTCACCACCCCTTTTCAATCAACAGTGACAGCAGGTATGAGGGGCAGAGAGCACTGAGCCTTTGAAACTTCAACTCCAGGCTCAGCCACCGACTTTGCTGTAAGTCACTCTTTTCCTAGGGCTTCAGTTAAAATGAGGCCAAAAGAGGTAATGCCGGGGAAGTACTACAGGTTTGAGGTAAGGAATCACCTGCTGGCAAGCTGACTGCAACCTCCCTCCAGGAACAGTGGCTTGTGACCCCAGAGAGATGGGGCGCCGCTCCCCCCTCCTTTTAGCTGCTCCAGAATTCTGAGTGACAAGTGTAGCGTCCTGAATCAGGAGGTACAGAGGATGGAATTCTAGCCCCAACTCTTTATACACCGGCTGCATAATCCTGGACACTTCTTTCTCTGGGACTCAGTTTGCTTATCCAAAATATAGGGATAATAATAGATTGAAGGAGAGCAGGAAGCTTTTTGTCATCCAAAGTCTCTGTATAAAAATAAATGATAATGAACGGTACAGTGCTTGGCAGCAGAGTTAGCTCACGAATTCTGACCCCACATCCTCCACAGAGTGGTTTCTGGCCAGAGTCCCTGGACTTCTCCCAGATGTATCACACTGCTCTCCCCACATTCTTTCTGGTCCTCTCGGGATAGGTAATGGGTCCACACCTGTTTCTGCCTTTGTGTAGGGGACTCAGGTCACGAGATGACAGGATGGCGGAGGGGTGGACGCCCCCACACGGGCTTACAAGTGTCAGTGTTCCTTGGATGAAGGTCGGTCCCTAAGGTCCCCAGGCTTGAGGAAATTGGTTTGGAACCGGTAGGCAGGGCTTAGTGGGGGCGGGTTTGATCCACCTAATGGGCGGGACTATAGAAATTAGGCGTTCTTTAGAACACGGCTTGGGTGCTGTGTGAGCTCCGGCTGCCCCTACCTGGCAATAGTGCTGGGCAATTGGGCTTTCGCTATGGGGAGGGGAGTGGGGGCTGCGGGGGCGGGGCCTAGGCAAGGGGGAGGAGGCCTGGGAGCCTAGAGGCGGGGCTTGGGGAGCTCGCCCCACGCGGGGCGGGGCTCCAGCAGCCGCGGGATCTGCAGTTCGGACTCCCAGCGCCACAGTCGCCGCAGTTCCTAATACTCTGGTGGCCCCACTGCCCTGAGGGGAGTCTGGGGGTCAGCTGGCCTCTTGGACTTGGCACGGGGCCGGCCCCGCCTCCCCCTCCCTCGGTGGGGCCTAGACGGTCGGGGCCGCGAGGACATGGAGCCTTCTCCCGCCACGGTGGGCTCGGAGACTACTCGCCTGGTGAGCCCCCGGGACCGTGGCAACGCCGGTGGCGGCCTGCGTTTGAAGAGGTAGGACAGACCTGGGCCAGCCCTCGGCCGGGGAGTGCCGTCCTCCTGCCCTCCGTCCATTTCGTTGTCTCCCTCGGCGCGGCCCGGGCCGGCTGCCCCAGCGCACTGCTACTCCCTCGGCTTCGTGGCGCGCAGCTCCCTCCTCGGCGGCCACACCGAGACCCCGGCCCGCCCAGCCAGTTAGCCCCGACCCCCGCCGCTGTGCAGCCCGCTCGCCTCCTCCTGGATACCCTCTTTCTCCCGGGCCTGCCCCCCAAGCCTCGGGACCCCTCCACCGCCCCCGCTGTGTTTAGCTTCCCTACGAGCTACCGCCCTCCGTCGGACGGCAGTCGGTGCCAGGTGCCCCGATGTCCGCATTGCTCCGGGGCCCTGGTGGTGCGAGCACCTCGCCGCCCAGGCTTCGGAGCCCCATATGCAGGGCCCCGGCCCCTCCCTCCGCGCGCTCGGGCTCAGAGCGTCCGCTCCAGCCGTGGGCAGCTGTGGGCACCCGGCCCGAGGAAGGGCCCGGACTCCGCAGCGGGTCTTCCAGGCCCCTGGGGGCGGGTGGGCACGAGGAAGCGAGGAGCGACAAGGAAGGAGCAGGTGCGGTCTGGGCGGCAGGGGGTATTCCAGGCTCCACACAGACGGGGCCGGGGGCGGCGAGGTGTGAAATGAGGCGCGCTGAGCGGCGGGGACAGCGGGGCCGGGGGTGGCTGCAGAACCGCCTCCGCGTCCCGCGGGCCCTGTCCGCCTTGTCTTTCGGAACTGCCGAACCTGGTCCTCCTTGGTCACCTCCGCTGGCCATTTTGTCTGTTGGCCAAGCGTCCGTTTGTCCCTTTTCTCATCCTTCCCAATCCTTGTTTCCGTCCCAGGTCCTCTCCCTTTGTCTCATAGGGTGCCTCCGTGTGTTTCTGGATTTTTCTCTGAGTGGGGGCTGTTAACCTGAGTGGGTGGGGCGTGGGGGAGCAGAAAGAGGCAAGATTTCCCGTCTGACTCCTTCCGGCAAGGGACTGCAGACGTGTGCAGCTGTGGGGGCTCCAGCCGAGGCCCTGGCATCTCTTCCCATACCCTTTTGACTCTGCTTCAGATCATCTCCCCTCCCTACATCTCTCTACCCCACTCAATATTATTTGTTGTTTGTTGGGGGTTCCGGGGGCTAGGGAGAGAAAACTGCCTTCATTTCACCCTTAAACACAGTGTACACCCCCCCCCATACACACCCACATACTAACAATGAGGTTCTTTAGGGCCCAGTTCCTGCAGAACAAAAGGAAGCAAGCAGCCTGTTGATGGGCGGCTGTCTTGATGATTGGTTGCACTGTGCCTTACAGAACCAGAAAAGACATCTTACCCACTGCCCCAAAGCTACTCAGCCTCTGTTTGCTCTTCAAACCCTCATCTGACTCCCAGCTCATCTTCATTCTCACTTGACCATTAGTCACCAAATCCTGCAGCATTTTCTGAAAGAGGCTCTTCCCTACGTACCTGCCCCTCCTCTAAAATTCTGTGCGGGGAGCCTCTGGCCTGGTCTGTTCTGGACCCCTCCATCTTCTCTCTTCCTGCCAAACAGGTACATCAGCAAGGTCATCGCAGGGCCCAGGAAAGATATGTTAAATCAATCAGTGTATCTCCCTTTATATTCTTAAAGTTCATCACCTTTCTCCTCCACCCTTCCCCTGGTTCTTCATACTTAAACTCCACGCTGAATATCTTGTCATTGTCATTCCATGTGTGTGGATACCCCTTCTCCACCTAGGTCTCATCTTCCACATCGCTCCCTCTGTGAAGTTCTCCTCACCCTCATTGGAATTGGTTACTCCCTCCCCTGTGTTCCAAGTCCTTTGTTCATGATGCTCCTGCCCCTAGCCTCTCCTTGTTTAGTAAGTCATTTGTGACACATCTGTTTCTCCCTCTAGACTAGGCTTCGGCATGTGTACACTGCCTGGCGTACCTCACCGAAGAATGAGGATAGATTTCAAAGCCACCCTCATCTCCTCTGGAAACACACCTAGAATCATGCACATCCAGATTCTAAGTCTTGGAAGGGAATTCCAATAAACTACCTACCAGCACTTGAATTTTCCCTACAAACACCAAGGTCTCCCCACTTCCCTCGATTCACCCACCTGACAGAGCTTTCCTCAGCCAGAAGGCCATAGGCACCCCTCCCCACTTTACTACTGTGATCATGTTTCTACCTAGAGCCTTCGTGTTCACTCATAGGTATTCTTGTCCTGTATTCTAGGACTGTATTTTTCTTTTTAGGTCCTTTATTCTGTGGATGGTTCTGTTCTTGCTGAGGTTCAGATTGAATGGTAGTGGGGTTGAGAATTGGGCCAGAATGGACCTAAATCTTAGTCAGCCTGAGCTCAGCCTCTGGCACCCCCCGATAAGGCCCTCAGCCGCATTCATTTATCAAGGGAGGCCTATGGCACTGTGCAGTTTAATTGCCTCTGCTGAGTGCCTATGGTCACATTGAAGTCCAGCTAATGTGGGGCAGACTCTAAAGACAATGTCTCTACTGCTACCATTGCCAGCCACAGCTGTGTGCACACCGTCTTCCCCAAGACAACCCAGTTCTGGAATCTGGGCATTAGTTCTCTGTGCCAGGAACCTTAGACTTTTGGGGTCCCAACATTCCACTCCTCCCTGAAAGGGCTCCACTTCCGCCATGTCTAGAGAGGAAAGGTGAAAGATCCAGGAGCGGAGGCACGAAGGCCAGGATCATGTGCTGAGTCCTGCCCCACACTTGCACACCACCTTCCGTTCATATCGCCTCTGCGTGGTAAGCTCACTTCATCTTTATCAAAATCGTCCCTGTCCTTCAAGGCCCTACTCGGGTGCCTCCTTCCATTTTAATCTGATTTCCTTGTTAGAATCAATGTATCTCTCTATCTGAGCCCTGATAGCAGTTTAACTCCTCTAATGGTTATAGCTACCCTCTGCATATACATTTTCTGTGTCCACCAAAAGCTCCCAGAGACCAGAAAGGATTTTGTTTAATGATTTTGCTCATTTTGTATGCCTAATGGTACCTGTCATAATGAACTGACTTGGTTGGAATCTAATCTTAGCTCTACCACTAATTAACTGTGTAGCCTCCATAAGTCCTCTCTCCTAAAGCTTTTATTTGTTTTTTAATTGATTTTAGAGAGAGAGAGAGAAACATTGATTTGTTGTTCCATTATTTATGCATTCATTGGTTGATTTTTGTATGTAGCCTGCTGCCTTGGCATATTGAGACCACGCTTTAACCAATTGAGCTACCCAGCCAGGGCCTAAAGCTTTTACAAGTAGAATTAATCAGAAGACAAGGTGTACAGGGGAATCATTTTCCAACACTTCTCTTATAAACTCATGTTTTAGATTCTTTTTTGGAATAAAATTGGCTCAACTGTTTACAAGGTAATTTCTGAGTTGTAAAAACTCCATGTTTTTTCACTCTGCTCCCCCATTCGATCTTGGATGACACAGTCAGACAGACAGAAAGCACGAGGACCCTTTCTCTTGCATCTGTCCAATAGATGTATACCTCATACTTCTAATTTCTTTAATAAGGTGTCAGACTAAGCCATCTCTCAGATGCCTTCCAGCTGTGTATGCAAAGAAAAGGAAGGTCAGGATCTGAGTGTTCATTCAGGCCCATCTCTCAGGTGGCCCTCTGTCCACGAGGTCCTGGGTTTGACCAGGCCTTGGGAAGGAGTGAGAGGTGGGCCCGTCTTCGGGATCCAGGATCTGAAAGGGAGGGGCAGGTCAGCCCGGGGGCCAGGCCTCAGTTGAACCATGTTGCCTGCCTCAGTCTCTTCACAGAGCCCCTCCCCGAGGAGCCCAAATCTGTGGAGATGGCCTCCCACCACTGCCACAGGGACCCCCTGCCACAGGGTCTCACCCCTGAGAGGCTGCGGGCGCAGAGGCAGCTGTGTGCCGCCTGCGCCGTGTGCTGCATCTTCATGGCTGGGGAGGTGGTTGGTAAGTTGGAGAGCTGCTCCTCCACCCCTGTGCTCCCGACACCTGCCTAACCCACTACACTCAGAATCCCGGGGATGTTCCTGGTGGTGATGCAGAGAGGATGGGGATGGCTGGCACTTGGGAGCTGGGTGCCCCGGGCTCCAGAAGTGGGGGAGAGTGAAGGACAGCACCAGGGGAAATTCAGGGAGAGGCCCAGGGCTGGCTTCTGTGATAACTGCTCTTTTTTTTGTCGTTAATCCTAACTCAAGGATATTTCTCCATTGGGTTTTAGATAGAATGGGAGGGACTGGGGGAGAAAGAGAAACATCACTGTGAAAGACACACACTGATTGGTTGCCTCCCACACAACCCCGACAAGGGCTGGGGATTGAACCGGCAACCCAAGAGTGTGCTGTTGACTGGGAATCGAACCTGCGACCCTTTGGTCAGCAGGCCGATGCTCTAACCACTGAGCAACTGGCCAGGGCTGTTTTTTTTTGGGGGGGGGTGATAGCTGCTCTTTTAAAAGCCCTATTTTCTTGTTATTAACATATGTCATTGTAGAAAAACTAGAAGATGTGGATGAGTGAAAAGAAGAAAATAAAAACCAGCTGTAGTCCCATCACCAGTGAAAACTCACAGATCACATTTCAGTGTACATCCCCCACTCTCATTTCATGCCAACACAGAAAATGTACCTTGTTTTACCCTTGCAGGTGGGTATTTAGCACACAGCCTGGCCATTATGACCGATGCAGCCCACCTGCTGGCAGATGTGGGCAGTATGATGGGCAGCCTCTTCTCTCTTTGGCTCTCTACCCGTCCAGCCACCCGCACTATGACCTTTGGCTGGCATCGCTCAGGTAAGGCTTCTGCATGAGCTGGTGACCCTCCAGTCTTGCCAGAGGGTACCTCTAAAGGTCCCGGGCAGGTGTCTGATAGCTTGTCTCTGCCTGCAGAGACTCTGGGGGCTTTGGCCTCTGTGGTCTCCCTCTGGATGGTCACTGGCATCCTCCTGTACCTGGCCTTCATCCGTCTGCTGCACAGCGACTACCACATCGAGGGGGGCGCCATGCTGCTGACCGCCAGCATCGCAGTCTGTGCCAATCTACTGTACGTTCCAGTATGGAGCAGGCACCATGTGGAGTTCAGGGCAAGTGGTCCTCCTCCAGGCTGGGAGAGCTGGCCCTCCCCTCCCAGACAGGCAGGCAACACAAACACACAGTTCTCACCTGGGCTAGAGACCTAACGTTCAGAGTCAACAGACACTTGTTAAAGTCCTACTGTGTACCAGCCTCTTGCTGGGGACTTTGATCAGTATTATCTCATTTAAAGCTCACAACCACCCAGGCTATTTAAGTAGCAGGGCCAGCATCTGAATTCAAATCTCTGGCCCCACTTGCTGTATTCTTGCCTCCAGGCTGCACTATTTTTCTCTCTTGGACAATGTTGTCTTCTTCCTGGGGCTGGGAAAACAGGGAGAACGTGAATGAAGAAAGAGCTCCCGGGGAGGTGAGAGGAGGAGGTGTAGAAATAGGCAGAGGAGGCTGGCAGCAGGCCCCTGGGCTGAGCTGCTCTACTTCCCCCTCAGAATGGCCTTTGTGCTGCACCAGGCTGGGCCCCACCACAGCCACGGGTCTAGGGGGGCTGAGTATGCACCGCTGGAGGAGGGGCCCTCGGAGCCCCTGTCCCTGGGGAACACCAGTGTCCGGGCAGCCTTTGTCCATGTGCTGGGGGACCTCCTACAGAGCTTTGGGGTGCTGGCCGCCTCCATCCTCATCTACTTCAAGGTACCGTCCATCATGCCTGTCCCAGTCTTGACCTCCCCCAGCTCCACACCCATCTTCTCCTTCCCAGGACCCACAGCCTCCTCCTCCCATCCAGCTCCTGGCTTCCCAGGACCCCTGCCTAGGGTCATGTCCCTTTCCCCTGAGCAGGGCTCTCAGGGGCCTCTTACGTCCTGATTGTCTGGGGTGCCATCAGATCTTCCTCTGAAAATTCCTCATTCCTGGATTTAGGGGTCTCTCTCTCCCTCAGCCTCAGTGCAAGGCAGCTGACCCCATCAGCACCTTCCTCTTCTCTGTCTGTGCCCTTGGGTCCACGGCTCCCACCCTCCGAGATGTTCTCCGTGTCCTCATGGAAGGTGAGTCAGACCCCACTGCTCCCCACCCCTCGGGCCCCCTTTGACCTCACTCCAGCACTGGGCGCCTCTCTTTTCTCTGAGTGTGAGGAGAAGGCAAGGGTCACGGGGCCTATTGCTGGAAGGAGGATTCAAGCACAGGGTGAATTGTGGGGTCAAAAGGGTGAGAGGGTACAGAATGGGGGAGGTGGAGTCTGGTGGGGGCTGCCCCTGGGCAGGAGCAGCCCCAGAAGTAAGGCTTGGTGGGTACTGCTTGCAGGTACCCCCCGAAATGTGGGGTTTGAGCCAGTGAGGGATACACTGTTGTCAGTACCAGGAGTCCGGGCAGCTCATGAACTACACCTGTGGTCCCTGACGCTCACTTACCATGTTGCCTCAGCACACCTGGCCATCGGTGAGTCCACACTGGCCCCAGCCAGTTATTCCTAGAAACGTGCCTTCCTTCCCCTCCGCCTCCAGACACAGGAAGACAGACAGCCTGAATCCCTGGGGTTGTTTCCGTCTCTTTCTCCTCTCTCTGTCTCTGTCTGTCTCTGTCTCTGTCTCTGTCTCTGTCTCACCCTCTAAAGTAGTGCAGGGAACCAGGAACCCTTTACAAGATCACTAGTACCTGCGTGGGTTGAGTACTAGGGATGGAACATGGTTAGGTAAATTCCAGCACCTCCACTCAGTGGGGTATCATGTAACTACTAAAAATGATGATTATGAAGACTGTATGGCAACTAGGGAAACTGTTTATGGTATAATGCTAAAAGGAAAAAAGCTGAATATAAAATTATATCTACATTATGATTCAACTATTAAAAATATATATGGTGACTCACAAGCTGACAAAGGATTTTTTGAGTTTCTTCCAGATGCAAGAAGCAATCAGAGACATGCAATTTGGATGCCAGAAATATACTTTGTGGGATATTTGATGATAGCTCTAGAGGGACAATGGGACCGAATATTTAACATCTGGGTTGTCCTGGAAAATTGGGTAGCCTGACTGCTGAAATACAGCTGTATCCTGATACCCAAAGAGCAGAAGAGAATAGAAACATAAGAACAGTTTAGTGTGTTAGCCCGGTTGATGCAGGGTGTCTCTCCAACCTTTTCTTTGATGTTTTTATGCATTTCATACAACACAGAAAGCAAATAAAGCTCCCCATTGAAACCTGGCTTGAATGCTGTGCAAGCCCCTGGGTCCCCCCCCCAGCGGTCCTTATCTTGGCCGCAGCCTGGTTTCCAGCTCCCCTGGGAACCTGCTGTCTTGTATCTTTCTCCCACAGACTCTACTGCGGACCCAGAAGCTGTGCTGGCTGAAGCCACGTCCAGGCTCCACTCCCGATTTGGATTCTCCAGCTCTACCTTGCAGGTGGAACAGTACCAGCCCGAGATGGCCCAGTGCCAGCGCTGCCAGGACCCCCCCCAAGCCTGAGCTGGCCCTGCCTTCTCCCCACTGCCAGGCCCTGGCTCAGCCCTGGACTCTCAGCAGCTGCCTCCCTGCTCGTGGAGAAGGGACTGAGCTGGGCCTTAATCCTTCCTTTCTCCCTCTTTCTACCTGCCAACTCCCCAGCCCCAAGCCCCAGTGGGCAAGACCAAAGTGTGTGTGTGGGGGGTGGGGAGTGGGGTGGGAGTTGGGCTGAGCAGGGAATCAGTGCAGTGGGGAGGGGTTGGAATTCTCACCGTCCCAGCTCCCTGTGGCCTGGGGAACACGAGCATCCTTTCCATGCAGCTCATCTGTGTGGCAGGCTGGCTGGCTGGGGCATCTGCCTGTCTGTGTGCTGTTGGTGTGCCTGTGCCTGGGGGAGTCAGCCGGGGCCCCTCCCCCTGTGGCCCTCGCTCTGTCTATGCAGGAGCCCCAAGATTTGCACTTTGTCCGTGTGTTCTGGCCCTGTGGTTTTGTCTGTGTGTGTGTATGTGTGTGTTTCTTGGTGCTGTGGCCTGTGTGTCTCTGTGCCTGTGTGGCTTCGCTGTGGTTGCTATGAGTCCACACCATCCATGTGTCCATTTGGGGGTCTGTGTCTATCCCTCTGTTGGTGCTGTGCCCTTGGCTATCCCAGAGAGGCAGGACTCTGCTGCAGCTCCACCAATAAACGTGTGTCTCACTGCATCTTTCCGCCCCTGTGCTGACTCCTCAGGAGGGGAAATAGAGTTCTGAGTCCAAGCGACCTTCCTCAGCCCTCTGACCCCTTCCCAGCCCCTCCACCCTCTCCACCTTCAAATACACATTCCCGCAATGTAGGCTGGAACCTGCCAGGCTCTTCACCACCTTCCCTTTTCACAGCATGCTCCAGCCTGGGTCCTTGGCTCAGGGAGCATCCCCTGTGCTCTGGGCCGGGTTACTTGAGAAGGCTGGAAGGCGAGGAGCCAAGGGATTCTGGAGAGTCATTCCTAAAGGCTCCTGCCGGCCAAGGGGGCCTTGGGCTGGTGGGAGGGAGACTGCATCCCTTTTGGGGCGAGTGGTTGGACCACAGTGCTAACATGATCTGGGTTCTCCAGCAGTCTGAGGCTGGGGATGGGGCCTTCAGCCCTGACTGACCCAACCCTGAGTCTAGGTCTGGGCTGTGGACGGCAAGGACCTCTACAGTTATTCTCCCTGTGCCTTAAGTATCAGATATTTTGACAGATTTTATCTTACAAACAAAACTCACTGAGGGATTGATTTCTGCTTTTTAAAAATCAAACTGTGCTCTGATTTTAGATCTAGTGCTTTGGATCAGTAGGAGTTCACTGGCCTTCCCACCCCAGGCTGATAAAATTCCAGCCCGAAGCAAGGACACTGAGCATTTTTTATCAACCCATGCATATTTCTGCAAGCCCCCGCCCCCATAATGGCAATATCTTTATTATGAAATTATCTCCTTTTTATGATTAAAGCATATTATTAAGTATACGCTTGTTTTAAGGGTTCAACACAGGAAATGTTCATGAAGTCGAAAGCGAATGTTTCCTCTATAACCTACTCCCAGAGATAGCTGTTGTTCACAGCTTGGAATCTCCCTGCCCATATTTTTATATGTGTACAAACACTTCTATATAATCACATAAATGAGATCACTTCATCATGTAACCTGCTTTTATGACTCAACCATACATCCTGGCTGCCTCTTTCCACACCAGTGCACACAGATTCCGTTATTCTTTTTAAGGTGAAGCCTCTGGATTGGTTGGAAATAGGCCTCCCCACTCTGATCTTTAACTGGGGACCTGGGCCCAGGCTGGGTGAGTCACTGCTGGCCTGGTGGCCTGGGATGGACGCGGGAGGCTGGGCCAAGGCCACAGGCTGGTAGCCCATCACCCTGGGAGCATGGAGGCTGCCCCAGCTGCTCTCCACGCTTTGCTAGTTCCTGATACTTTCCCATTTTACGGCTCATTGATTATAGGCCCCAAGCGACAGGAAGGGGGTGGGGAAGAGTGAGGAAATGGAGGTTGGGGGACATGAGCACTTGATGTTCACCTTGAGAACAGCCTTAGGCTGAAGGCCCACCCTATGTGCACAGTGCTGGGTTGCTCTGCAGGGGAGGGGACAGACTGATCAAGGCAGAAAGAGATCTCACGAAGCATGCAGTTCATCTCTGCCCCACCCCCTGCAAGATGAAGAGGAAACTGAGGCTCAGAGAGGGAAAAGGACTTCCCCAAGGTCTCCTATGAAGTGCCAGGGGCAGGAGCAGAGCCAGGCTCTCCCACTCGGGTCCCTTTGAAGCTTCTGCCCGGCTGAGTTTCTCGCCCTTTCTCAGCAACCTGCTGCTGCTGCACGCCAGGTCCTGGGGCTCTGGACTCTGGCTCCTCGTTCTGCCTCAGCTCTTGACTAATACTCTGGTCACTGTTCATCTCTTTGCCTTCCAGCTTTCCTAATTATGAAAAGAGGGACTACACGACACTGTGGGTGTGAGTGCGCCTGGTGTGGGAAGGGCCTGTGGGAAAGGGTTAGGGTTTGGGTGGAGTCCCAGATGCAAGGGAGAGATTTCAGGGGAACAGGGCGATCCAGCACCCCGACAGCAGGGACAGGAGCCAGAGTTTATTGAACTAACCCTTAATGCAAAGCACTGAGGTGGATATTGTCTGCATGTTACATATGGAGAAACTGACGCTTATCTGCCCAAGATAATGCTGCAAATAACTGTCCAAATTGAGATCCAAACTCAGTTCTGACTACGCTAAGCCCCGGCTGTCCTTCCTTGCCCCCTGCCTCTCTACCGGCCTCCAGGCATGGCTCTGTAGGGACAGGCAAGGAAAGGGGATGGGAGTGTTCTTCGTTTACACAGCATCCCCAAGAGAGCCCAGGAAACCCTTATCTGCAGGAGCCCCTGCGCCAGCCCTGTTATCTCCCCAGCGCACCTCCTCCACTGGCTTCTCCAGAGGCCCTTTCCCTCGGGGAGCCCTTCCATGATAAAATAGGTGGTGGAGGGAGGGGCGAGGAGAAGGGGCTGGAAGGGACAGTATAAAGGGGAGGCGGAGGCTGAGAGCAGGGAAGGCTCATCATCTACCAGCCCAGCCATGGCAGCTTATTACACAGCTGATTAACCAGGGGGTTGGGGAGAGAGGGCCAGAGGCGGAGGGGCCAGAGGAGAGGGAGAGCCAGAGAAGAATGAGGTGGTCAGGAGGCAGGGGGACAGGGGGTCCCCGAGGGTTCAGTTTTAGGTGTGTTCGCAGGAGATGTAAGACCAAAGAGCCAGACAGAAAAGCCAGAATGGGAGGGTGCAGAGACAGCGTGGGGAACATCCTGGCAGAGGACTAGGCCCTGCCTTCCTCACCGTTTTGCTTACCTGGGGGACTGCTGGGCCAGCTGCAGGGGCACACACAACTTCCCGTCCAAGGGGTGAGGACTGAGGACCCAGCAGGCCAGGGGAGCAATCGGTCCGGGTCAAGAGGAAGAGCAGGGTGATAAAGCCCTGTCCTCCACTCCCCTCCTCCCTTCAGGGCCTTCAGCGCAGACCAGCTGTGGGCCCATCCTGGCTGCCTTGAGCTAGACTGTCAGAGGGGGAGCAGCACCCCCACCCCCACCCCAGGCCTGTGCCATGGTAGCAGCAGAGGCAGCCAGAAGGCTCTGGAGGGAATCTCAGGACCTGAGTCAGGGTGGGAAACCCCTGCCCCTCTTCCCGGCAGATTTTCCCACCTCCGTGGAGAACCGTATTCAGGGAATTTCCTATATAGTTAAAGGACTCTTCCCCGCCAACTCGGGGAGTTCCCAGGGCCTCCCCATCTCTGCCAGGAGCTCAGTCCCTCTGGGGGTGTTGGGTAGTTCCCAGGCCTCTGTGGGGCAGAGCCCAAGGTTGTGGATGCAGCTGGGATCGCAGATGACAAAGACCCTGTTTCCAGGACCAAGGAGAGGAAGTGTGGGGAGAATGGGTAGGAAGGAGGGCCCTGGGCTGCCAGGGCCGGTGCCTCTCTCCTTCATCACTCCCTGCCCTCTCTCTGCCCCTCGCTGTTCCCTGCCTACAGCATCCTGAAACCCCAGGGAGCAGTCCCCACCAGGCATGGGAAACGCTCACTCAGAGGACAGGTCTCTGTGTCGGAGCTGACCCCTCTGCACCGGACACCAGTCTGGAGGCCATGCTCGCCACCCTGGGAAGGGCACATCTCCCGGCCCCCGCCCCTGCAGCACCAGAACTCCCATGCCCTCGGGAAGGCTTTGTGGCCAGTTTCTAAGTGGGCGCCTCGTTGCTGGGGAGAAGGAAAGGGCAGCCACCAACAGCCTCCCCTCCCCTAGATTAGAGCTACGCTCCAAGGCTGCAGGCTGCAGGCTTCTCTAACAGAACAATTTCCATTCTTAAAACAGACCCTCAGAATAGAACAGGAAAGCACTGTGTAGGTGGGTCTCCAGGTGCACCCCTTCTGAGTTTTCCTCTCCCATTTGGTGCTGTGCCCATGGCATCTGGTGCCAGGGTTTACTGCCTGACTTTCTCTCTGACCCAAACAGTCTGCACATTCAATTCCATTCTCGTTTCCTTTGGCTCAACCAAATTTTAAAAGGACTGTAGCCAAAAACCTAGGCAGAAACAAAAGGGGCCCAAACCCAGGAAATAAGACAGTCGAAGCTTACCAAAATTAGTAGGCTTGAGACCCTATAACAGCCAACTTGCTTTGCCATGACCAACGTCTGCCCAGAGATCCCCTCCCTGCTCCTCTCTACCCTGCCCACCTGCAGCTGGGAGCAGGGTTAGGATCTGGACTGTCACACAGGACCTCTGGGAGGCACAGTGATGGGGGGCAGGGGAGAGTGCCCTACAGATGACAGATCTGTGGGTCGCCCTCGAGGGAAGACACTGCTTTCCTCAGATTTGCCTCCCAGCACCCAGCTCATAGCCTGGCACTGAGTCAATGCTCAGTACTAACTGTTGGTAAAGGAATGAACGGATGGAAAGACGGTGAATAAATGGACGTGGGGTCAGCACAGAGTCCACCAAGTGCTTAGTCCCCAGACTGCCCCAGCTGGCCAGTAAGCTAGCGCCTTACAAGCTGACTCCCCAGGGCAAATCTGCAATAGCACTTGGCGGTAACTGACCAGGGGCCCCCCAAGGAGAAAGAAATTGATACCTGCAGGGTTCCTCAGGGTGGGTGACAGGCCTGCCCAAGGCTCCGCCCTGGACATTGCCTCCCCAACCCTACCACAAACTCAGTGTCTAACTTCCTCCTGAGTCCAACTCGGTGACCCTTTGATCAATCTCCTGTGGATTCATCACAGCTTTCCCAGCCTTTTCTAGACTCTTTCACGTCCACTCTTAACACCTTTTTCCCCTTGCCTCTTGGGATCCCAGCCTCTAAACCAGTTCCTCTCTCACTAAGCCCATGAAATCTGGTGTCTACCTTACTCCCAAAAAGCGGTTTATGTTGATGGTCCAGTCAGCAAATGTTTATTGAACATCTGTTATGTGCTTAACACTGTTCTAGATGCACAGGATACATTAGTGAATAAAGTTCCTGTTCTATGGCACTTACGTTATCACATACAAATGTCACATATTTTTCTGTCGTATTGCCTCAATCCCCCAGGTTCGTTATCTACCTGATAGCTCCATACAGATGTCCCATAGCTGACAATATCATGCCCAAACAGCCTCCATCCTTCCATACCCCAAACTGTCTCTCTGGTCTACACCAGT